TAGACAATTTTGTCTCACAATAGCTACAAATTCTGATGCACACTATCCTGCTACATACAACAATAGTATTTCAAAAGCAGCCATTTCGGCATTACATAGTCCTCACCCTCCACCACGTTTAATAACTAATAAAGTAAATCGACGGTGGATATTCGTCCGGAGCATCGCGACACCTGTTCGTAGCGGCTACGTCCAAGCAGTTGTTGCGCATGCGCTGTTCATGCTTGCATGCCGCACGGCACGAGTGCCGGAGTTAGGGAGTGCGAAGGGGGGGCTGCGCGGGGTTTCCCACCAGACAAATTTTAAATCTAGATGCGTCTAAAATTGCTATTATACCCTTTAGATTTATGATTTGCCCTTTAGGCTGCGGGCTCGTTAGCGTTTTGCGTAACGGCAGCCCTCACGGCTGTGACGCCCCTACATACATGCGATTTGCGTATGTGGTTATTACACCATAGATAGTGTTTTGGCTCACTATCACTTCGCGTATTAACGAGAACCGCACGTCGGTTTATAGATAGTGTTAGGGTGTTAGGGTCGTGAACAGGTCCGATGCTCGGACGAATAATCCACGTCCTAAAGTAATATGAAATTTTTTATCCCCTCCAGCGTTTTTTGGATTTTTTAACCAGAGAGATCGTGTACAAGATGGCGTTGCCGCAAAACATGCGTGTTACCCGACGCGAGAGCGGTTAGCTTGCGCACTGTCAATTTGCATTTGCGCCGGAACTGGCGGCACAGCGACCTGCGCGGGTGTGACACATCGTAGCATCTCGCGCGTGCCCGCTATACGAATCGCGCAGCCGAAGGAGGGCGGTTCGCGCGCGAATCCGTAAGCGGAAGCGTGAACATCGCGCAGTTTGGTTCAACGTTACAACCGCGCTTGACTAGCAGCGGCCTTGGGGGGGGGGGCAGCAGGGGCGTGCAGCAGGGCGCCAGTATACGTAGGATTAGCTACGTGTAAATACTGGGCTACGGCCACGCCAGCACCTCCTCCATCGAACGTCCCGTCACGGCACGGCCAGCGCGGCGTCACGGGTTCATTAAAACATGCCACGTACGCAGCCCAAGGGTAGCCGCCGGGCGGGGAGTTTTGGAGATAGCATCTAGACCGCGCAGCGCCACGCTGGAGGCCGAACGTCGTCTTCGGTTAAAACCTCTCTGATAGACGTGACGAGCTATTCAGGCAGTAGCCCAGGTTCATCGCGGTAGCGCCGATAGAGCGAGCGCGTGGTCGCTGAGTGACAGCATTTCTTGGTTGTCTTGTAGGACCCACTACGCGTTACCCGCTAAGGCCGCGCCTATCTCGCCAAAATTAATATGTGCCCGTTGGAGATGGCCCTCTATCGTCGATCGCGAAATGTCGGTTGGATCGGCCCCCGTTTTCAGACCCTGTCTCAGATATCTGTCTAAGTGGACACAAAAGGGGGCGGCGTATTCGTTGTCGTGGCGCGGCGTCGCCGCGCGCTCGTGCGCTACGCGCAAAAAACGGGCCACATGTCCGTCTAGTGAGAAACAATCTTATCAAGTAAGAATTTGAAGATACGTTTAGTCCCGGTTAGTTCTTACTTTCAATGTAAAAAAATGGCAACAAAAATTTACAAATTTTACCATTGAAAATTTGGACGTATAGCATCATTAAGACTAATTTGTTTTCTGACAACGGGCCCAAGGACTTACTAATTAAAAATTACATTAATATAATCGCTTATCAGTGTATGTACAGACAAAGCGGTGCAGTTATAACAGACAAAATCATCCACAATAAAAACATAATAATACTCTAGGATGCATACCTATTTTGAGAGGCCGTATCAGAAAGACAACGATCCCATTTTCACCAAGTTGATCTTCTGAACGCGTCAAGATCTGCCATGGTGGAAAGCCACGCCTCCAAACGCATGCGGCTCGTTCTAAAAGCATATCATTAATGTTAAATAATTCAATATATATTGGAATATTTACTCGTAAATATAAAATGTACTATAATATTAATTCGTAGTTTTTACATTACCTTTATGGAGAGAAAACACATTGGGTTTCACACATTGTCTCAGAGAACGCAAAAACACCGGCTGATGGGGAAACAGTCACCTCCAGGGACATGTAAAATTTGTAATAACAAATTATAATACATTATAAGCCGGCATTAAACCGGGGTTCTTGTGTCGTATAAAATGGCAACAGACTCGGAAGAACATAGCCCTATTACAATAGAGCAAGTCATTGGGACCCTCCAAACAGAGACAAGACAACAAACGGCTCTTGGTTTGGTACGCTTCTTGTTCAATAAGTTGTTGCTCTTGCATTTGCAAGTTGCCAGAGTTACCACAACTACTACCTACTCTACTCCCTCTAGTACTAATACTATAACTCGCGTTCATTAACTGCGGCAGTTAATGAACGCGGGCTATAGTACTGAGCTAACTACTACCCCTACTATAGCTCTAGTACTATAGCCGCTTACATTAACTGCCGCAGGCGGCAGTATGTAAGCGGCTATAGTACTAGAGCTCACCCCTACTAGTACTAGTACTAGTACTATACTCTGCAGTAGTACTAGTGGCAGTACTAGGGCTGAGAGGGTCTATGTCCCCCGCGGGTACTGCCGGAACGTACCCTGGCCGTACGGTCCGGTATACCGGAACGTACCCTGGTACTATCTAATATTGCCGACCGTACCTCGCCTACTCCACTAACGAGTCTAGGAGTCGCCTACGGCTACTCCCTAACCCGAAACCCTAACACTAACCCTAACCCTAATCCTAACCCTTAACCATATCAAATAGTGACCAGGTACGTTCCGCGTATACCGCCGACCGCTTACCAGCGTACGTTCCGGCAGTACCCTGGGGGACATAGACCTATGAGCAGTACTAGGCGCCTGCGTGGCCCAGTGGTAGGCATCGTGCACTGTCCACTGAATGCCGCGAGTTTCAAACCCCGGCCGCGCTCCGGGGCAGTGAATTTTCTCAAGGTGTAAAAACCTGGTTCTCAACATTGGAGACTGTGAATCTCCCGTGGCTCGGATGACCACGTAAAATGGCGGTCTCGTCTCCAGAAATACTAGCCATGGGGACGTAAAAGAACCACTGAGGACGCAAAAAAAAACTTTGGCTGTGACCACCCTCGGTGCCATTGGCTAAAAAAGCTGACTACCTGGCTTTACCTAAGCTAGGTCACACCTCATGGCTAGCTATAGCCCGTTGCCTCGATGCCAAATTTGGATACTGCAACGTACTACAACAGAAACAGAAACAGAAAGTAGGCACTACCATAGTTATTTAAATAAGTTGAACTCATTCTTTGTTAACATTTTTGTGATGTTTTTATTATATAAATGGTAGTTAAGAAGCTGATATAATCAAGAGTAAATAATATAACATCTTATATTATAACATGTTATATCAGTCTGCACGAAAAACTTCCACCCTCATTGGCCCAGCGGGCCTGTGAAATATATAATTCACTGGCCCACACTAGGTTTTACAAGCCCGAATCAATGATCATCATATTATGAAAAGAGAAACAGAACTCTTTGGTGTATTCTTAGAGATTTATTCTTTTATGAAATTGAACAAAAAATTATCCACTTCCCTCTCCCCCATCTCATTGTCACTGCCATCGTACTCATCATCATCACGCTCATTCATAATCAGAAAGCTTATTTCGATTTCGAACAGTAACTTAGCCAACACGTTCAAGGCCACGTTGAAAACCAGAACCGGAAACCAGAAGTTGTTCCGACCTCTAGCGGCGACAAACACGCATGGTGTTGACTAGTTACTTCCCCTACTTAAGATCGGGAATATGATGCCCTATCGGTAAATATCGGTAAATTTTTATACAAAATATCGGGAATTTCAGTAAATTCTCAGACTGATCATCACATAAAGAAGCTGAAATATCATTAATAGACCATTTACTCCATTTTTTCCACTGGCCCATCGGGCTTGTTCATTTATTATTGTTCATTGTTTCATTGGCCCCACGGAAAATTTTACTGGCCTCGGATACCGGGCCAGTGGTTAATTTTGCAGACTGTTATATTATCTACTCTTGATATAATGCATAGCAAATTTTTGATGATGTGAGACAGTGGCGCTGAAGGGGTCGTTGTCGTATCAGGTACTACAGATATGTACCCGAGGTACATATATATGTATACACAAAGTGTACCAGACTTGTACTACAGAAGTGTACCCTAACCCTAACCCTAGACCTAACCCTAACCCTAAACATAATTCATATAAAAATATAAACATAATACTAAACAACCTAAAACTACCTCCTAATTATATAAAAATATAAACATAATACTAAACAACCTAAAACTACCTCGGGTACATATCTGTAGTACCTGATACGACAACGACCCCATCTGCGGCAGTGGCAGTGCTGTTCAACTTGTTTCTTGTTGTTCTTCTGCATAAAACTATCAGGAACCCATCTAACCTGTAGGTGGTGAGTTTTAATACCACGTACAGACGGCAAATTTGATATGGTGTTAAACTGGTGCGGGTCAGGCACGCGCCAAATTTTTGTAGTGTGTACATACACACGCTCCAAATACACGCTGGCCCGCACCAATTTGGTCCCGCAAATGAAGGAGGGCCAGGCCTCGGATAAGTTATCCTGCACCAAGCTGTGTCTATACGTAACACTCGGGCCAGACCCGGTGCTAAATCGCAATGCGCATAGCCTTATTTTGATCACATAATTGTATGATTGCTGTCTGCAGGGTGATGTGGCAAGCTGAACTGAGAACTGATGACTCATTTAATGTAGGATCAAATATGCAGTCTCTCTCCGCTACAATTTGCGCGCGCCAGTTTTTATACCAAATCAAGTTTTGCAGTCTGTACGGGGTATAAGTGTCAATGGTGGCAACCTTCCTTTAACCTGGAATCTCAGATGAACATCCCTGACCTAGCAGTCACAGTGCCATGAATAATATGAGTTAATATAAAATTATGAGATTGCAAATTTTATCATTACAGTGTAGAAAATGCAACGATTTGAATGCATTGGAACAACTCTTTTTGGGCACAGCTTTGCTTGGCATTCTTGGATGCTTGGGTTTAACCATAGAGCGTCTTGTTACACTCGAGAAGAATACTGCTGACTTCATATTTGCTCTAGTACTGCTGGTAAATGCAGGTAAATTATTAGTTTAAATTGATAAGCACCACAAATGATTATATACCAAGATATCAAGAATCCACAATCAAAAAAGAGTATGACACTGTTTTACAGCATGCTTGGGCAGTTTTCAACTTGAATTTATTCTATCAATATGTGAATAAATCTATTCAAACTTTACCTTGTTTTAATCTTTGATTCTCCCTTAGTCATATGACACCAGCAGTTTACCTGAAAATCGTATGTGTTCTTTACAAAAGTTCTTTGAATACGACCAAGTTTCACACACTCTCTACCCGTTGTTGCATTGGGTAGACGAAACTTGTCCATCAAACTCGTAACTACTAACTATGTCATGTGACGCTGGGCGCTGACGGGGATATTAGGTAACAAACTGTATTCAAGCTCTTAGTTTTGCGGTGCCATGCTTTGTATGCCTATCTCGCACAGTAGGCTTATCTCGCGTGAAACAAGTGATGTTGCCTAATATCCCTGACAGCGCCCAGCGTCACCTAGAACTTTATGAGTTTGGCGGCCAAGATTCATCTCCCACATGCAACAACAGGTAAAGAGTGTGTGAAACCGTGTCACATTCAAAGAACCTTTGTGAAGAACACATACGATTTTCAGGTAAACTGCTGGTGTTATATGACTAAGGGAGAATCAAAGATTAAAACAAGGTAAAGTTTGAATAGATTTATTCACATATTGATAGAATGAATTCAAGTTGAAAACAGCCCAAGCATGATGTAACACAGTGTCATACTCTTTTTCTATTTATGGAGTCAGGACTCTTGCTGATATCTTTCAATGGAGTTTTTATGCTCCATATAACCTGCTGATACAAACTGTAGGACTTGCAAAAGCTTCTTTAAAATGTCACTATGGTGTATACGCAGTTACTTGACACCATTCACATAAAAACTGCATCAACGTTGTGGTGGCTATTAATGTTTCATATATCATGAAGTTTAACATGGCTCTAGAACTTGTGTCAATAGTTTCTACAAAAAGATGTTTTGTAGATACTTGGGATGTGTGAGAAATAATGTGTGTACACTTTTACTAGTAGGGCAATATTCTGTGGTTAGCACGGTGATCTGTCATGAACATATAAATTGCATTCGCCTAACAAGCAGTGGCTCTTGTATCCATTGAAAGTGAGCAATTGTATAAACCTGGTAATACATACTAACTGTCTTTGATTGCTTTTTGGCCAGTGTTTTGTGTTTACTACGTTCTGGATGGCGTCTACCGTGAGCGACCATACGAAGTCTTCACAGTTGTCATCGGTTCAGCCATCCTCATCATCTACTGTGCTGCCGAGTATGGCGTCGATAGGAGCTCAAAGTGTCGGCCGTGGGAGGGTCAGTGCTCACCCAATGACATCGTAAAGATGGTAAGCAGCGTTCTTTCTAGGAATTCCAGAAGGCATGTCATTTATAGATCTATGGATGTTGTAGGGCCACAGAAGGGGGTTGTACCTATTGGGGTCAGTTACGCATGACATAAGCAGCTCTACAGGCATGAGACATTTCCGCCGTTCGGCGGATTTCAGGCCATTTTGGAACTCCAGGGACCATTTCTGAGATCAGTGTAAATTCGAGCAGAATTTATTTTGGGTGGTAAGAATACCTCCGTGGTCTCTGACGATCGCGTACATGTGAACACACTGTGACTCGGTAACTATCCGGAGCGCTTCTACTCGTATCATTGTCTTAATGTATGCTTGCTAACATAATGATAAAAGCAGAGTACGTCGAAGTACAGCAATCGACTGGTAATGTGGTATCACTGTTCATTTATCTTATGTAGTGAGCATTGTACAGGTGGGCGGGGACCAATCTAATAAACCGAGCACCAGCTCATACTGGTCCTTGCTCGAATACTACTTCGCTACACTACGATACTGGCAGTTGTTGTGTACCAGTCTATTTGGCGCCATTTTTGTGTTAGAACAATGACGTCGACGTGATTCAGCGGCTGTTTATTACGCAAATTTCCGATCAGAAAATGGTTCAGAAGCTGCCAAGATTCGTTTCTGTTAAAGAAATCGATAATGGTATTAAGAACAAGTTCAACTGGCAATGGCTTGAACATTCGGTGGACGTAGATCTCGACGATCGTAAGGAAAGCCACAAGCTGAGCCGAGCATTTTTTCCTTTTCCACCAAAAAGTGTTGCTAGTTGTGAGCTATTGGAGTACGCTGAAATGGCTCTAGATGGCATCTCAGAGCTTATAATTTGCAAAACCAGACTCCCCTAGAAGTTTCGTGCCAGTGGCACGAGAATGTTCTTCCCTTTTCAGCATTTGTCTGTCTCATGCCTGGCTCTAATACACAGGTAAACTTGATCAGACTTATCTCATGTGGGTGTTTCACGTGCTGTATTGTTTTCTACCCTGTCTGCAGACGAGGCTGATTCTGATTGGAATAATTGGTCCCGTCATCATGGCACTCGGCTGCTTGGTCTCCTGGCAGTACTATAAATCAGGAAACCTCGTCTTCCGGTAATTATATAATTAGTTCTCTCACCAGCCTAGTTTACTTCCAATTTAAAATACTGGAAAATCTAATATTCTTATTTCATTAAACATACTATAGCAAGATTAGTGATACTTGTAAAGAATGCTAGGGAAATCGATGAGTCTCTCCATAGAACTAAAGCAATTCTAGTAATTGAAATAGGAATGTATTGTGCCCACAGATGTGTTTACAGAATTTAAATGTGATATATTCTTTTAAATTTCAGCACAGTGGGTGCTAACATTGAACTGCAAAAGATGTGCAGGATTGTATATTTATGTGAAACTCTGCTGAAGTTTGATTTACAACTAGGGGTATGTGATAACAATACCTATTTTCCTATTCTCAACAATTTTTGTAAACTAAAGCAAGATAAAATACTTATTCAGGGTAGCTTGCAATATTTAGTGGCTAAATCTATGATAGCCGATGTAAATTATTTGTGCCAATATATATTTATGTATATTTTTTTATTAATTAAATTACAATTTTTTGTCATTTGAAGGTCACCATGATAATTTTGGTATTGCAAAGCAGTGAGCAGGCGGACGAATTGTCTTCCCTTGAGATAACAATCCTGAGTGTTGGAATAGCATTTAACGTCCTCTGGATGCTGCTGGGGTTTGTTGGAGTAGGTGTCCATGCATTTCTAATGCAGTTTCCCCTAATACGAAGAGAAAGTATAGTGTGCATTCATAACCACACGTTGCCTCATGATCACTCAAGCTGGCGCACATTGTTGGAAACAGAATAAATGGTCATCACTAGTACTACCCTAAGTCTAATGTGTCTTAACTTTTGCATATGCGCAAGGTTATAACATCCTAGACATGTGTGAAGGTGTGACCATTTTCTGAAAATGGTAACCTGTTGTTTAGTTATTCTGGTAGTCAGTTCTACTTAAAACCAGCAGATCCAGGTTGAAAATTCATAAAGATGCAATGAAGTTCACCTCATTCACACAATCGTATTTTGATTCCATCCGAATTGTTTTTTTTTCACTTCTCCCCACCCATCTGCATGACTTCATTCACTTTTGCAACCATTTCAGTTCGTGGTAAATTTGGTTTTGTTGTAATATGTGGAATCTTTTTTAAACGTGTGGCAGATGTGGTTGGAGAGCAAGTACCTGAGTCATATTTTCCTCATAACTAGTATCCTGGAGCCTGCCTATATAATTTACAAAATATGGGATGTGGTAAGTATATATTACTCTTCTTCTTTGTAGAATCTTCAGTTATCTTACATACCTAATGTTGTTGTTTATTACTAATGAGAAATCACGCGCACTCTCTCTGTCTCTCTCTTTCTCAATCTCTGTCTCTCTCTCTCTATCTTTCTCTCATCCTCCCTCCCTGCTTCCCTCCATCCCTCCCTACCTCCCTCCCTCCCTCCCTCCATCCCTCTCTACCTCCCTCCCCCTGCCTCCCTAGCTCCCTCCCTCCATCTTCCTCTCACTCTTTCCCTCCCTCTCTCTCTCTCTTGTTCTCTTACTCTTACTCAATCTCATGTACCCACAAATCCGGTAAAAACTTATAATTATTTGTTTGTTCTCAAGAGCGATCAGCTATCTAATAAGTCAGGGATGGTGACAGTGGTGCCACCTACAGGCAACATCACGACGACGTTGCTGCCTACGCTGGAGCCAACCAGCCCCACCGCCATCTTGCAAATAGCCGTATATTTTATTGGTCTTGGTGCACTGGCTTTGCGTGTCGTCCTGGTAGTCACCATGGTGGTAGTCTCTCGGAATTACGGGAAAGGACTGAAGGAGAAAGGTACCTATACAACATTTGGATGATGCAGAGAATTTATTGCTGATATTTTCACATGTGAAATTATAGACTTTGTGACAATATTAAATTGATGACGTCACCGTAAATAGTAAAAGTAAAAAAAATTATGTCAATTTTTTCACAAAATATAAGTGATTCTGTTCACTTTTTATAGTTAAATTGTTGCATTATACTTGCTATTTTGTTATTCTGTTCGATGTGAACAAACACTCGGGACTCATACACAGCCCATAGCAAGCATTTAATGTCGTGATCATTATATCAAATTGCCGAGGTTTTTTGGAATTTTAACTAGTTGAAAAACAATCTTATCAGGTAAGAATTTGAGGGTACATTTAGTCCCGTCAGTACTTATTTTATAATGTAGAAAAAAGCAACAAAGATTTTACAAATAGACACCATAGAAAATTCGTGACGTAGTCAATTTAAGAAGGAAATGAGAAGATTATGTGAAGCAAACGTAGGCAAAGATCAGTGAATCACTGCTTTTTTACTCACGTGTCCTGTTATCACATAACCTATTGTCAACCATTCTAGTTTATTGAGCTTTGACTTTTGGCACTTGTTGATTGGCAGTTTATGGGACGCCGCCTGCTCTCCTGGTGGACCACAGCCAACCACCAACAGCTGCTGGGTTTCACAATTATGGAAGTCTATAGGTAGCGAGGGCAATAGTCATGGTCACAGAATCATAGTGTCAAATCATCATTGTTGTACTATAGCATAGTCGTGAGGGCTACACCATTCAGTCCAGTTAGCCTTTCTGTGGTATATCATCCTAAAATTAGTGTTGCGTGATATCATCAAATTATTAGTGCTCTATCATGCCACCAATGCTCAATTTTTATGCTATAATATATGTGTAGTTATAGGTGCATTTGGATAGAATGCTACTGCAAGTGATGAAATCAAAGTATAAAGGATTTTGAATGTAAATTTAATTTTGAACCTTAGTGGTGAATATGTTATCTGTGATTTACCTAGCTGTCTATTCTCTTCATTTGTCTGCTATGGTGGTGTCGTCTTTCTACGTATTGGGGATGGGAAGCAGTGTCCATCAGTGGGCGGGCCATGTCCTGAGGCAGGTGGGATCACCATACCACACGTGTCCTCCATCTCACCACCTTTTTAGTAAAATGCCACACTGAGCATGCCAAGTGAATCTTTAGGCTGGGGAATGAGGCTTGTCTTCTTCTCCTTTTGTTATATATGGATGTAAATGAAACATGATACGAGGATTTGAAACATATTTGGTCGTAATCATATGCTTATAGAACGTGTGTCACTATAGCCTATATATATATATATATATATGTATTATATATGTGGCTGATTATTCACTGCACTGTATTGTGTAAATGCATGGATAAGTATTGTAGGCGGTAAACTGTGTCACAGGTTCTGCATTGATTGTTGCGTTTCTAGAAGCAGTACTATTTGCAAACAAACTGCAAGTCAAAGGTACAAATCAAATTTATTTTTGTATTGTAGACTCGGTGAATGTCAGGGAGTATGCGCTCTGAGAAACATTTATCTCGTTTGCTTTTACTACACGACCCTACTACAGTGATGTCATGTGTCTGTGTAAACAAGGCCCATGTTACTCAGAGTGCAAGTGCGATGCTCCCTGTAAGAAAATCAGGGAGCGAATTATGTGTAACATATAGAAAATAATATCATCGGGACTCTCTTGTATAGAATTGTGTATATTTTGCATATATTGAGTCGAACACGCGTTGATATGTGTTGAACTTATGAATAATGTTGCAAAGTTACTGTTAGTAGACGTGTGGCGGTTCACAGACTCTCAACGGGGCTGTGTGACATCGCATGCCTTTGATGCTGTGACAACTGTGACAAGCGTAAGACAATATAGTAAAAGGTATTATCGAATGTAAGATGTGGAAGTATTCTGGCAATACTGGAGCCTGACAAATAAATAAGAGCTAGCAATATTCTCACTGCATGTCACGTGTTGTAACAGGGAGAACTATTTGTCAAATACCTTCCCTCCTCACACACTTTTATCCCAGATAGAAATGTTCCTCGCATGCTGGTGGGAAGAAATGCCTTGGAAGGGTCACCTTCCAGCACGTGTAAAAATGTGACAGCACTTCTGTGAGCTAATATATTGCAGCTGTGTGTCAGGTACCTTGACAGTTACAAAAATTGGTGGCTGCAGATAGCAAAGCAAATGTAGCAGAGGAAAGCAAATGTATGTACAGCACTTTGCTCTAGTATCCAAACTGTCGGATAAAAAAGGGTGTTCAGCTAATTATTTATTTCTTCAGCGTGTGTTTTTTCTGCTTGCGCGCACGCAGACGTGGGTGAGGGGGCTGCCGCCTTCGCGCGACATATAGCAAGAACGTACGTCAGCTCCACAAATTATAAATTACACTGAAAGTAGCTTTTCAGCACGTTCCTTCACAGAAGAGTGTAGGGAAACAGGGCACGCACTGTGTTAATCCGTCAACCAGCGGCATTGCCATAGACGGCTTCGCACAAAAGCGCGATGGCTCTGTTTCGCCGCGAGAGGCGTTGGTGTTGCATATGAGTCATAGATAGGTTGTGACTTTTGAACATCGACGCGGCTGATTTATCTGTGGACATCTGACTAAAATCCAATCGAGATTTTAAGAATTCAGAGGCGTACCTCCATTACAAATATAATTACAGTCCAACGGAAAATTTCCAGTAGAAGAGGAAAGCCTAAAATTATTTTTTTAAATGTTAACCTTTTCTATTGCAATCCTCAGTGTTGATCTATCAATTTTGTGAATGGTTAGTGTTTAAAAAAAATAATTTTTGGCTCTTCTCTTCTACGGGCCAGTACCTTGGACTATGAATGATATTTGTTATGAAGGTATGTCTCTGCATTCTTAAACTATCTATCGGAATTTGGGCCAAGAGTCACAACCTTATAGATAGATACCTAGAGATAGATAGCTAGATTAAGCGGCGTCTCAGCGCAAACAGGACACAGTGCGTATGCGGTATAGTTAATGTAACAGCAGGTTATTCCCGGATGAAGATGCGGCCAGAGACGATGTTCGTTCGTCTGCTTGTCTGCTCGCAAGCTTTTCTCAGACTTGTGCGACAATGAGTTTGCGCAAGGTCGGTTCTTCTGTGCGCTGTTTCGGCCCAGTCACTCGCTTATTGCTTTAGGGGTAATGGTCTTAACCGTAGCGGGTGGGGTGTCTCGCATTCATACGATCGTATAATGATGTTAACCTACTCTTGGTCGGATCTATATAACGAAATGTGTATATATATATATATATATATATATATAGGTGTGCGTGGGTGCGTTAGTGTCTGTGGGTGCGTGTGGTTGTAAGTGTACACGTGGCATTTAGCCGTGGAACCGTGGACGTGCACGCGTTGCTTTATCTGTAGACACAACATCGGTATCGGAAATTTAATATAACAAATATGCGCATGGTATATTATAGAATATATTCTATTTATTTCGGATACATAGTCAATAAGTAGGTACATCTTGTGCGATTGCTCATCAATTTCTCATTATATAGTTGTTGATTTCGTCTAGATATTTACACATTAGACAGAACACTGCAATATTGTGATATGTGTAATACTAGTACAGTATAACAAATTTAGACGTTCTTGGATTTACCCAATAAAGAATATTAATTGACATTTCGTAACGCTATAATAACACGTTTTACATTCCTCGTTTGTTTGTTGCTCGTTTTTGTTTGCCTGCGTAGCTGCATGCGTCATGTTTGCGTCTGTTGCTGCGTGTTTGCATGTAATAGTACGATAGTACAGCACTATGACATATAGTCTTAGATAGTGAGATGTCATCATTTTTATATAAATATCGGATATGTTAGGTAGGACAAGTCTTACATTCCGATTCATAGAAGGTTAACCGTTTATTATTCAGTGTCTGTCTTCAGATAGTGATTGAATTCAACAGTTCTATGCGTCACTTGCGTATCCGACACTATAAGCTTAGTCAAAATATATGCAAAAATTTTCCTCATTAATTCCCTATTCTTCGTTACGAATTAATTAGATTGTGTCAAGATAGTTGCGTGTACGGACTCGTGCAGCGCATCATCACCGCGAGTGCTGTGGGCGTGGTATTGTAGTGACGTCAGCAGTGATGAGCAGAAGGGGCGGATTGTTGACATGCGCGTGACACGTGACTAGAAGACCTTGCCGCCTAGTACGCGCGCGCATCAGAACGAGTCTTTATTTTAATTACCGCCAAATCAAGCGCCCCCAATTGATTAAATCTCTATAGAGGACGCCTTCGGCGTCTATTTCCTTCCTCGGCGTCCGGTTCCTCCTAAAGGGCACAGCTTGAAGTGGCATGGTCCTAAACATGAGCAGGAAATGCAACGATATAAGCAAGGCGGATCATATACAATTGATTGAAGATTGAGAGTCGCAATTTCCGCATTAAGTCGCAGCTTTGTCGCCATGTTATCATGAGATCGTTGATCACGATGGCTCTCTGGCGAGGGAGAGATTTATCTAACCATCGATTAGCAGAGATTCTATTACAAATCTATGGTTTGAATAACCGAATGCGGAATGCTACGCACGTAAGCAATTCATCCGCAAACACACATACACGTGCACACGCCCCGCCCACGCAGGCGCTCAAGCACACACAAGCGGTCGCGCACGCGCGCGCACATGAAACCTACTGAATGAGTCGTCGTCTGTCATCCGCGAGGAGGCGCTGCTTCCTAGATAGTTTCTTCTGTAGATGTCTGCCTTCATCGTTTTCGGTTCCGGATTCCCATATACGCCGGTGAGTATTTGGTCCTGTAGTCTCTTATATACTAGTCTCGCGAACTAGGGACAAATAGTTCATAATGTTAGTTACATGGTAGATGTACATGTGGTATAGAACACAACTGAAATAGGTCTTTCTACATGTGCTAGGATAATTCTGCAAAAAAACTGGAATCTCAGACAAAGTTACCTGATATATGAAACCAATCCGTTTAATCGATACAATAAATGACGGTGTCAATGACACTGTAGCTCACCACAAAAAAGGACACAAATGAGTGAGTGAGAAGAAGTCAGTTTTAATTGAACAACCATCGACGTACATTATAGAAACGAAGAGTATATATGGAAGAACTCCCATTATATACTCTTGATAATTTTATGTGTAATTTTTTATGTGAAAATAAATGTTTGAGATGGGAAAGTCTGAGATGTGGGCGAGTGATGGCGTTACACCTAAATGATCGCCATTTAACGTTTTTATAATATTCAGATTTAGGCACTGCCTAAAAGCGGAGCTCCCGATGTGTAACGTGTAAGATTGAAAAGATACGCTTATTCCACGTAGCTGCTATAATATAGCAGCTGTATACCACGTGACAATGGTGTTTCCCTGCCCATAACACAACTTTTGTCAAAGGTTAATTGGTTGTATGGAAATGTTTACTTCGTATGAGTTTTTCTAGTCGGTAGCACACGGTTGCCATCTGTATATCGCAATAATAGTTTATAAACCAAAATGAATCACAATTTGTGACGGTAGATAGCGCTATACCCGCTTTGATGTTTCTTAGCGATGGCGTTGGAAATAAATAGGTTATGCTGCGTTTCGACATGTTTTGTAAAACTTTACTCTAATATAGACGTTTTATCGGCAGGGTGGAGAGGAAATACCAATTTTGCATTAAAGAGATTGTCAATGAAATCTTGTAAAACG